AAGTTTAAATTGTCTAACCTTTGGCCAAATGAGAGCCTCCTGAGTTACTTTTACATGACTCTAGTAGTCTCTGATGGGCTTCTTAGGTGGCACAGTTGGTAAAGAATCTGCCTGCCAATTCAGGAGACGCAAGAGATGTGGGTGCCATCCCTGGGTAGATCCCCTGGAGTAGGAAATGACAACCCATTCCAATGTTCTTGCCTGGGAAATTCCGTGGACAGAGGAGCCTGGTAGGCTACAGTCCATGGGGTCACAAAGAGTCAGACTCTACTGAGCACACACAGACACAGTGATCTTTAATAACTCTCTGCTATTGGACTGTAAGGAAAGCTGAGTGCTGAAGAATTGATGCTTTTGCACTGAGGTGTTGAAGAGGACTTTTGACAGTCCCTTGGACTGCAACAGATCTAAGAAGTCAATCCTAAAGGAAATCAGTCCTGAATATTCATTGGAAGGACTGATGCTGAAGCTGAAGCTCCAATACTTTGGCCATCTGATGTGAAGAACTGACTCATTGGAAAAAACCCTGATGCTGGCAAAGATTGAAGGCAGGAGGAGAAGGGGACAACAGAGGATGAGATGGTTGAATGGCATCACTGACTGAATGGACATGACTTTGAGCAAGCTCCAGGAGTTGGTGATGGACAGGGAAGCCTAGCATGCTGCAGTCTGAACTGACTGACTGATATAGTAAAATAAAATATGGGTTTCCCAGGTGGCGCTAAAGAACTCACCTGCCAATGCAGGTTAGATGTAAGAGATATGAGTTCAATCCCTAGGTCAGGAAGATCCCCTGGCAGGAGGGCAGTGGGCAGGAGGGCACAGCAACCCACTCCAGTATTCTTGCCTGAAGAATCCCATGGACAAAAGGGACCTGACCTGCTGCACTCCATAGGATCTCACAGAGTCAGACACAACTGAAGTGACTTAGCACGTATGCATAATAAGATATTTCAGGCTTATTTATATATTTCTAGCCTCAAAGATGGAGAAGACAATGGCACCCCACTCCAGTACTCTTGCCTGGAAAATCCCGTGGACGGAGGAGCCTGGTAGGCTACAGTCCATGGGGTCGCGAAGAGTCGGACATGACTGAGCGACTTCACTTTCACTTTTCACTTTCATGCACTGGAGAAGGAAATGGCAGCCCACTCCAGTATTCTTGCCTGGAGAATCCCAGGGACGGGAGCCTGGTGGGCTGCTGTCTGTGGGGTCACACAGAGTTGGACACAAATGACGTGACTTAGCAGCAGCAGTAGCAGCCTCAAAGAACTTGGAATCAACCATTTCCCCAAGAAGCTTTAGTTTGTTTTAAGGTAAAATTGTATTTCAAAAATGTTCATTGTTACTGGACCGGCCATTGTTGGACAGAACTGGAAACTACGTGTGTGTGTTTACTTTAAAATCTCATGTGTTCGTATTGGTATTTCTACTTCAGGTTTAGAGTAATAGGGTTTTTCCTTAATCTCTCTTTTTAAAAAAAAATCTCTTTTATATCACATTGTCTTTCTTCCACACTAACACTTCTGGTTAGCAAGGACACGGGAGATGAGAAATAAAATTTCATAACCATTTGCTTTGTGTGCATGCTCACTCAGTCACGTCTGACTCCTTGCGACCCTATGTGCTATAGCACACCAGGCTTCTCTGACCGTGGAATTATCCCAGCAGGAATATTGGAGTGGGTTGCCATTTCCTCCTCCAGGGGATCTTCCTGACAGGGATCGAACCCTCATCTTCTGTGGCTCCAGCACTGGCAGGCAGATTCTTTACCACTGAGCCTACCTTTAAACACAGTAGTCTTAGAATAACAATATTCATACTACCATTATAATTAAAATCACATAAAATAGTTAAGATCTTTTTACAAAAGATCCTATTCCCTTTTTCTTTTCATTTTTACATTTTCATTGTCAGAGCATAAATCCATTTTATACTATACTCTCTCCCATTTGACTATCCTATGTTCTTAGTTTTATAAATAAGAATATATTGAATGCTCACTGCCAGTGCTTATGTTATGCTTTTTGAGTTATTAGTTGATGTTTTTTCCAGTTATTTTTCCAGGTAAAGTTCATCCTTTAACAGATTCTCTGTCTCATAAAAATGATATTTTCTGAGTTCTTGCATGTTGATCAAATTTTGTCTGTGGTTTATATCCTTGAAAGTCAGTTCTGCTGGTTATAAAATTCTTAGCTCACATTTTCTTTCCTTGAGGGTCTTAAATGTAGTATTTTATTTTCTTCTGGCATAAAACTTTGGTGTTGGAAAGTCTAATGATCATATATAAATAATTTTCTTTCCTTTATTTGCCTAAATACATAAGTATTTACCCCTTTTTTCTTTAGAATCCAATTTTCTTGGTTGATAGTATAGGTTTCCTTTCTCAAGAACATGAAATGCTTTTTCAGAAAATTGCTTATATATTATGTGTATAATATATATTTCTATATCAAATATATGTCTCTCTATATATTTTAATAATTATATAAGTAATTATATTTATATAATAGCACTTTAAAGTTATATATATTCAGGAAAATATTCATGAATTACTATGCTTAGTATTCTTTCCATTTTCTTGCTTTGATTTTCCTCTTTAGGGACCTCTGGTAACCATATATTGAAATTTCTTTGCTTATCTTCAGTATTTGTTACCTTTTCTCAAAATTTTTAAAATCTCTTTTAGAAGATTTTATTTTGCATTTAAAATTTTTTCCTTCTTTTCTATTTCTTTTGACGCATTTGCTACTGTGTTTATTCATTCCTATTTAGTCTTTTTCAAATGATTTTTCTTTTACTTATAATTCTTTTCTAAGTTTCATGACTTCATCCTTGAATTTCTTCTTTTTCTAATTTATGTTCTTTCATATCTTGCATCATTTTTAGTGCATTTTAATGTGTTTGAAATAGTAGATTACAGTTTTAATTTATTTTACAGGCATATCTTTCTGGGATGCTTTCAGTTTGTATAGAGATGATATGTTTTTCTTATAATAGTTTTATGTGAATTTCGACCTTGATAATTTCAAGTTGCTCATACTTAATGAGAACTTAATCTTCCTGAAGGCTTGGAAAAAGTCTAGAAGAGCAGATAATTCTTCTAGCTTCACAGAGCTCTCACTTCTCTTATTTTATGTAATATTTAAAAATACAGTAGGTTAGACACAAGATGACAGATATTGTATGATTTCACTTGTATGAATGATCTAGCATAGACAAATTCATAGAGACAGAAAGTAGATTTATTAGGGCTGGGAGAAGGGGAGCATGGAGAATTCTTGCCTAATGTTTATAGAGTCTCTGGGATGATGGAAATATTTTGGAACTGTATGTTGGTGATGGTTTTACAACATTGTGAATGTAATTAATGCCACTGAATTATACATTTAAAGTGAAAAACCTTTATGTTATATATATATGTTTTGCAAAAATAAAATTTTCCTAAGATAAAAAAAGCAAACATTGTCTTGATTGGTGAGATAGCCTAGTTCTGACCATTGCCCCCACTTTATCTAGATCTAGATCGTTCCTTTCTTTTGTCTCTATTGCCCCCAGCCAGTTCAACTTTGATTACACTCTCAATAGCTTCTCCTTCATGAGGGTTTCTGTGCTGGAGAAGAGCCAAGCCAGGTCAGCTTCAAGTGTCCTCTGCATTGTCCCCTTCAGACTTTATTAGAGGTGGCTCCTTGCCACCTTATGGGGGCAGGCAGGTTATTTAAATTTTCCAAGTCTCATTTTCTTCATCTGAAAAACTGGTGGTCTAAGAATAGTCCCTATCTCATTGTATTGTCATGGGGATTAAGTGATATAACATAAAAAAGCCTTGGTTGATCTAAGTTGTCTGGCACATCACATATGCCCAGAATATATGAGCTCACCAATAAAAGTAGTATTCCCAAGAAGAAATTTAGCACACCTTGCTAATGAGTAACTAGTTAATGTTAATTTTCCACAAATCTTGTTATGTTTTATATGCTAAAATGTCCAACTCAATCCAGAGTTAAACTAAACTACACATACACACAGGGATACCCTCTGGTAATTAGTGCAAGAGGAACTGGACTTTGTACATTTCCCTTCTTCTGACCAATGATAAATGTATATGTATCATACTATCAAAAGATTTTCCTGAATACCCCTGAATAGGAACATTTGTTTGGAAAATATACACATTGTTTATCATCTTCTCTTCTGTTTATTTGTATTTGGGGTGTTTTCTCCTTGCATACATTCTGACAATTATGAACAAAGCAGCACTAAGGTAATTGTTCAGTACAGTTTCATTTCATTTTAATGTGGCTGTCCTACTTCCCATTTAAACAATGTGGGAATGATGTGTAATTATGCATTGTTAGAAATTTGGGTATGTTTATTCTAAATTACCTTGAAGAATAATTGTCAGTAGTTCTTTCTGGAGCATACTAACTGTATCATCATAGCACCTGGCAGATACATTTTTTTAGATTGTTAGGAGTTTCATGTTTCTCCCTCCATCAAATACAAACAATGGATGTAGAAAGGGCTCGAGACAGCAGAGAGATTTTCAGGTCGCTTCAAGGCCTAGTTCATCATCTAAAGTTCTCCCTATCTGTTGATTGATGCCTACATTTCTTCTTTTTCTAAAAAGCCCGAGTTCTTGAGATGAATCAGGACTTAAAACCTGAAGGGAGACACTTGGCCAATGAAGGATATCAGAAGAACTTTGATAAGGACAGCCTATAATGTATTGAGCTACAAGTCATGTATGTAACTTCCAAGTTGATATATAATACAGATAATTCAGAATCAGTCATATCTCTTTGCCTTCCTTTGATATGATAAGCACAAGGAAGATTAACAGAGAGTTGCAGTATTATGTCTGTGAACCATGAGAACTGGATCTTTAGAAAAACTATTCCTAGGAAGTGATTTAATTTGTATGACTTAAAGAGTAATACAATCAAACAGTTATTCTGTCCCTTAATTCTTTGTTTTCTTTTTTTTTTTTTTCACTGTAGCTTCGGAAAGCAGTGATGGATCACATATCAGATTCTTTCTTGGAAACCAACGTTCCTTTGCTAGTTCTCATTGAGGCTGCGAAAAGTGGGAATGAGAAGGAAGTGAAGGAATATGCCCAGGTTTTCCGTGAGCACGCCAACAAGCTGGTGGAGGTAAGTTAAGAGAGGCTTGAGACTAGAATTTGTATCAGTAGGTTTAATCTCTATAAATGGGTCTTGGAATTTCAACAAACCATGCTCCTGTGATTTTCCTGGATCTTTCTTTTACCTTCTGGTGACTCCATCCTTTGTAAAGGACACAGGTTTTCAGTAATCTCTCCTCTCACTATTACAGAATTCTAAACAGATTCTGAAATGTATCTGCTAATTTTCCTCAACAGTAAGCAGAGGCTGAAACAGGAGCAATAGAAGGGACAGTCCAAGTGCTGAAGACCAGCTTTGATTTGAAGAAGTAGAATTAAAACTTCCAAATGGAGATTTAGACACAGTTCCCTTTTTTATCCCATCTCTACTCACCCACCTAAACCTGAATTAGCTGGCCACATTATGAACATTGTAAAAATTAGTTTCCCTTCCCTAAAAGAGATGTTTGGAATCCTGGTAAAGACTCTTGGGGCAGTAGTAGGAGTGTAAATTCAGGTCCTAGGTATATTCTCTGTGTTAGAGACATCTGTAGAGGTTGCTTTATAAATGCAAAATTGTACTGTTTGACTGAAACCCTTGAACTTCCTACTGTAGCCCCAGTGTCTTGGGGTGACATTAGACTAAAGAAGCTGAAAATAGAGTCATGCTTATAATATTATGGCAATCTTTGTGGCTCTGTCCCCAAATATGGGGCAAATACCCTATCACCCTTCACATTCCACCTACAAATTCCAAGATTTGGCTGCAATTCCAGGTTAGCCATTGCGGCATCCAAAGTCTTTCCAAGGTTGGCCTTGAAAGTTCTGCCACTTTCAACTTTGAAGAAAGAACAGCTGAAGAAGGGGTAGTAGGAATGACAAGGGGAGGAAGAAGAGGAAAGGAAGAATGTGAAATGAGTGCTACAAAAGTTAAAAATATTAATATGCAATAAATCATAATATTAGTATACATCATCCCAATATACAGAATTCTAGTATTTACATGACAGTTGCAGCACTTATGGAGAACATTAATTAACGATGTGTTGTAGCTATTATCAATAAAGACAGGGGCGTGAGATTAGAGTCGTATGATGAACATCTCCTACTTTCAATTCTGCCAGTGTCCTTCTGTGATTCTGTGTACAGCCTCATTTGCAGATCATGTTTGAAGTTCAAATTTGATGCCCTGGGTAAGTATGAGGCCAGGGCCAAGTAGCTCCCTACTCTTTTTTCCTATCTTATTGACCCTGGACACAGCCATCATTTCCCTGCATCCCATCTGTATATTTCACTGTAGGGGAATCCAGTCACTCTGGGTGATTCTTGATTCACAGCTTGTGCCAGCAGCAGAAGATCCAGGTCGTTCAGACCCCACGTTTCGGACTGTTGCTAACTTGCTCCCTTAGTTGTTCCTTTTCTTCTTTTTTTTTTTTCCCATTTTCTTTTTTTCTTTTTCCATTTATTTTTATTAGTTGGAGGCTAATTACTTTACATCATTGCAGTGGTTTTTGTCATACATTGAAATGAATTAGCCATGGATTTACATGTATTCCCCATCCCGGTCCCCCCTCCCACCTCCCTCTCCGCCTTATCCCTCTGGGTCTTCCCAGAGCACCAAGTCCGAGCACTTGTCTCATGCACCCAACCTGGGCTGGCGATCCGTTTCACCCTAGATAATATACATGTTTTGATGTTGTTCTCTTGAAACATCCCACCCTCGCCTCCTCCCACAGAGTCCACAAGTCTGTTCTATACATCTGAGTCTCTTTTTCTGTTTTGCATATAGGGTTATCGTTACCATCTTTCTAAATACCATATATATGTGTTAGTATACTGTAGTGGTCTTTATCTTTCTGGCTTACTTCGCTCTGTATAATGGGCTCCAGTTTCATCCATCTCATTAGACCTGATTCAAATGAATTCTTTTTAATGGCTGAGTAATATTCCATTTTGTATATGTACCACAGCTTACTCATCCATTCGTCTGCTGATGGGCATCTAGGTTGCTTCCATGTCCTGGCTATTATAAACAGTGCTGCGATGAACATTGGGGTGCACGTGTCTCTTTCAGATCTGGTTTCCTCAGTGTGTATGCCCAGAAGTGGGATTGCTGGGTCATATGGCAGTTCTATTTCCAGCTTTTTAAGAAATCTCCACACTGTTTTCCATAGTGGCTGTACTAATTTGCATTCCCACCAACAGTGTAAGAGGGTTCCCTTTTCTCCACACCCTCTCCAGCATTTATTGCTTGTAGACTTTTGGATAGCAGCCATCCTGACTGGCGTGTAATGGTACCTCATTGTGGTTTTGATTTGCATTTCTCTGATAATGAGTGATGTTGAGCATCTTTTCATGTGTTTTTGTGCCATCTGTATGTCTTCCTTGGAGAAATGTCTCTTTAGTTCTTTGGCCCATTTTTTGATTGGGTCATTTATTTTTCTGGAGTTGAGCTGGAGGAGTTGCTTGTATATTTTTGAGATTAATCCTTTGTCTGTTGCTTCGTTTGCTATTATTTTCTCCCAATCTGAGGGCTGTCTTTTCACCTTGCTTATAGTTTCCTTTGTTGTGCAAAAGCTTTTAAGTTTCATTAGGTCCCATTTGTTTATTTTTGCTTTTGTTTCTAAAATTCTGGGATGTGGGTCATAGAGGATCCCGCTGTGATTTATGTCAGAGAGTGTTTTGCCTATGTTCTCCTCTAGGAGTTTTATAGTTTCTGGTCTTACATTTAGATATTTAATCCATTTTGAGTTTATTTTTGTGTATGGTGTTAGAAAGTGTTCTAGTTTCATTCTTTTACAGGTGGTTGACCAGTTTTCCCAGCACCACTTGTTAAAGAGGTTGTCTTTTTTCCATTGTATATCCTTGCCTCCTTTGTCAAAGATAAGGTGACCATAGGTTCGTGGATTTATCTCTGGGCTTTCTATTCTGTTCCATTGATCTATATTTCTGTCTTTGTGCCAGTACCAAACTGTCTTGATGACTGTGGCTTTGTAGTATAGTCTGAAGTCAGGCAGGTTGATTCCTCCAGTTCCATTCTTCTTTCTCAAGGTTACTTTGGCTACTGGAGGTTTTTTGTATTTCCATACAAATTGTGAAATTATTTTTTCTAGTTCTGTGAAAAATACCGTTGGTAGTTTGATAGGGATTGCATTGAATCTGTAGATTGCTTTGGGTAGTATAGCCATTTTGACAATATTGATTCGTCCAATCCATGAACACGGTATATTTCTCCATCTGTTTCTGTACTCTTTGATTTCTCTCATCAGTGTTTTATAGTTTTCTATGTATAGGTCATTTGTTTCTTTAGGTAGATATACTCCTAAGTATTTTATTCTTTTTGTTGCAATGGTGAATGGTATTGTTTCCTTAATTTCTCTTTCTGTTTTCTCATTGTTAGTGTATAGGAATGCAAGAGATTTCTGCGTGTTAATTTTATATCCTGCAACTTTACTGTATTTGTTGATTAGCTCTAGTAATATTCTGGTAGAGTCTTTAGGGTTTTCTATGTAGAGGATCATGTCATCTGCAAACAGAGAGAGTTTCACTTCTTCTTTTCCTATCTGGATTCCTTTTACTTCTTTTTCTGCCCTGATTGCTGTGGCCAACACTTCCAAAACTATGTTGAATAGGAGTGGTGAGAGTGGGCACCCTTGTCTTGTTCCTGATTTCAGGGGAAATGCTTTCAATTTTTCACCATTGAGGGTGATACTTGCTGTGGGTTTGTCATATATAGCTTTTATTATGTTGAGGTATGTTCCTTCTATTCCTGCTTTCTGGAGAGTTTTAATCATAAATGGATGTTGGATTTTGTCAAAGGCTTTTTCTGCATCTATTGAGATAATCATATGGTTTTTATCTTTCAATTTGTTAATGTGGTGTATTACATTGATTGATTTGCAGATATTAAAGAATCCTTGCATTCCTGGGATAAAGCCCACTTGGTCATGGTGTATGATTTTTTTAATATGTTGTTGGATTCTGTTTGCTAGAATTTTGTTAAGGATTTTTGCATCTATGTTCATCAGTGATATTGGTCTGTAGTTTTCTTTTTTTGTGGCATCTTTGTCTGGTTTTGGAATTAGGGTGATGGTGGCCTCATAGAATGAGTTTGGAAGTTTACCTTCTTCTGCAATTTTCTGGAAGAGTTTGAGTAAGATAGGTGTTAGCTCTTCTCTAAATTTTTGGTAGAATTCAGCTGTGAGGCCATCTGGTCCTGGGCTTTTGTTTGCTGGAAGATTTCTGATTACAGTTTCTATTTCCTTGCTTGTGATGGGTTTGTTAAGATCTTCTATTTCTTCCTGGTTCAGTTTTGGAAAGTTCTCTAAGAACTTGTCCATTTCTTCCAAGTTGTCCATTTTATTGGCATAGAGCTGCTGGTAGTAGTCTCTTATGATCCTTTGTATTTCAGTGTTGTCTGTTGTGATCTCTCCATTTTCATTTCTAATTTTGTTAATTTGGTTCTTCTCCCTTTGTTTCTTAATGAGTCTTGCTAATGGTTTGTCAATTTTGTTTATTTTTTCAAAAAACCAGCTTTTAGCTTTGTTGATTTTTGCTATGGTCTCTTTAGTTTCTTTTGCATTTATTTCTGCCCTAATTTTTAAGATTTCTTTCCTTCTACTAACCCTGGGGTTCTTCATTTCTTCTTCCTCTAGTCGCGTTAGGTGTAGAGTTAGGTTATTTATTTGACTTTTTTCTTGTTTCTTGAGGTAGGCCTGTAATGCTAGGAATCTTCCCCTTAGCACTGCTTTTACAGTGTCCCAAAGGTTTTGGGTTGTTGTGTTTTCATTTTCATTCATTTCTATGCATATTTTGATTTCTTTTTTGATTTCTTCTATATATGTTGGTTATTCAGAAGCGTGTTGTTTAGCCTCCATATGTTTGAATTTTTAATAATTTTTTTCCTGTAATTGAGATCTAATCTTACTGCACTGTGGTCAGAAAAGATGACTGGAATGATTTCAATTTTTTTGAATTTACCAAGACTAGATTTATGGCCCAGGGTGTGATCTATTCTGGAGAAGGTTCCGT